CCAGCGACGATTGGCCCGACATGAACTTCATGATGACCTCCGCCTCGGTAATGTCCGACGGCGGCTCCCAGGTAAAGACCGCCCACGGCCTGACCGACGAGTTTTACCAAGAGGTCTTCAGCGAGGTGAACAATCGCGATGTCTTCGGCATCTTTCCCATGATGCTACGCCCCAAGAGTCGTGGCTACATAAAGCTCGCCTCAAAGAACCCGCTGCGATACCCGCTGCTCTACCACAACTACCTCACCCATCCCGACGATGTGAACGTGCTGCGAGAGGGCGTCAAGTCAGCGATTGCCGTGGGCGAGACACAGGCAATGAAGCGCTTCGGCGCACGCTTCTGGAGCAAGCCGGTGCCCAACTGCAAGCATCTGACCATGTTCACGGACGACTATTGGAACTGTTTCATCAGGCAGTACACGATGACCATATACCACATGAGCGGTACGGCCAAAATGGGGCCGCCCAGCGATCCCTGGGCCGTGGTCGATCCCCAGCTGCGGGTCTATGGTGTGCCCGGGCTGCGTGTCATCGATGCCAGCATCATGCCGACGATCACCAATGGCAACATACACGCACCCGTCGTCATGATCGCCGAGAAGGGGGCCGATCTCATCAAGCAGCTGTGGCTAACTCCCACCACCAAGCCAACGGATCAGCAGTGGCGCTCGAAGCGCTCCCTTCCGCTCGCCGGCAACGAGACACTGGCGAATGCAGTGCGGCAATGGCCATTGCCAAGCTCGTAGCTCGAGTGGGCGATGTGTGGCCCGGGCCCGGGGCACAGCTAAAAGCTCACTGACAGCTGCTCAAAGTGGCAGACTAAGCCGTAGACTAATCTTGTAGAGTCGACACACAGCGGGCAAGACAACATAACAGTTTCTGTGAGCTCAATTGCAAGTAGTCAGTGCAATTTAGCTTCACTGTAGCTTAAATGTGTTTTCTCACTTTCATTTATGTTTCACTCTCCACTAAGAAGCTTTCATTTTGTAGATTTATATTATTTTTGCTGGTTTTCATCAGCGTCTTCCATCAGTAATCCCCACTCGAACATCTTTAGACTCTTGTAACATTCCTAAAGCTAACTGTCAGTTTCCTCTATATTGAAAAATCATTAATTTGTATATCCCGTACCTTAACATTACATTTAAATTTTAAGCTTTAAGCAAAAGCTCAGCTCAGACTTTAATCCTTTGCCAAACTATTGATCATAGACGCGCACTCCAAAGCTCATTGAGTTTGATTTGAACAAGATTAATCCAAAGCTCTGCTCTGCTACTTTAGGCTTTAGTATAATTGGAGCAAGCTGTGTAACTGGGTTTAGCTTTTAGTTAGTTAATTCTCGTCGCGTATCTAATTTATTACACTTTAGTTCGCTTTGCAGCTCCTCCCTCTGTGCGTCGTCCTTAGTCACATAAGCGCTTCTTGTATATATCGAGTCATTTATGCTAATGCGTTTCCTTGTTTGTTGTGTACATATGTATATATAAACATATATGCGTTTATATCCTTTTTTTTTTAATTTTTTTTATTCGACGTGTTCACTTAGAGTACCTCAATTAGTCTTTGGCTTGTAAACAAAAACATTTCGATTGACGATTTAATATGAAACACAAACAAAAACAAAAAACCTCAATTAGCAGTTAAGTTGGATACGAAGTACTACATTATGTATTTTTATTGGAATAGTTGTTATATATATCTAACGAATAAATAAATAAACAATGAAACCCGATCTTATGTGCATTTATTCTTCGTGATGTCTGTTTGAGCAAAGCGTAGCATAATTATCAAATTAGTCATAGAGAGTATCTCCTAGTCGTGCACTTCCGACACTCTTACTTGTTTACCATTTTGTGCGCTTCGCAGTGCATTTCAAACCGGCGCTTGTTTAGCTGGCACACAAACCCACATCGCAGATCAGCGAGTACACAAACCTCCTGTGAGCTCGACTTAAAAGCTTACCTGAAAGTAGAAAGAGATTTGGAAAAGTTAGCAAATGCTTTTCATTTATTGTTATAATAGAAGTAAATGAAGTATCAAAAGCTCTAGATTTATTTGAATCGCAATGTTAATTAAATTCCACAAATAATTTCAATTTTTACTCAACTAAAGTCGCACTTGAAAGTATGCTTTAAAAATCTTTTTTTGAAATTCGCTTGAAATGGTATTTGGAATACAGATTTGGAGTTAATTAGGTGCACTACAGTATAGTTTAGCCTACTTTTTGCATTTATCTATGAAATTTTATGGTAAATGCATTGCAGTCTTGGAATATATACATATTATGATAGTTAAAGGTCTGCAATACACTTATAAGAAAATATAATAAATAAATTAATTATTCGTTTTTGAAATTTGGCTAGTTCAGTAAAAATAAAATTATCATGTTTTTTTTTTTCTTCATTAGGTACATCAGATGTAGTGTTATAAAATGATTTTAGTGTATTCAAATATCGCTAAAGCTTCCAATTCCAATAATTTTCCATATATTTATTTTTTTTTTTTTTTATATTAAACTAGTTTTCTCACTTAATCCGAATCACGGAGTGGTTGTTATACCGAATCTTGGGCAAACTACAAATTATCGAACCAAAAATCGAAAGAAACAACCGTTTTTCTTAAGAATTATTTCTCTGTGACTTGAAATAGTTTCCGATTTTCTATTGAATATAATTCAATCGACTTTAATAGTCAATTTGTTTTATTTGCAAACAAATTTCAAATGTCACGCAGGCTGCCTACGAAGATTGAAGAATTTACAAATATCTCCAACGAAACTACCAACCGAAACAATCAACTATAAAAACTATTTATAAAGACAAGCGATTATATAATTTAGCGGAGGAACAAACAGTTTAGCATAAAGGGATTGATTGATGGATTAATAGTAAGCCAATACAGTAAGAAATTAAATCCACTGTTCCGGTTATCTACATGTCAAAGAAGCTCCCAATATAAATCCGCCTTGTCGTCACCTGAAACATCACGTCACGTCTATCAAATACACGTTTGAAGACTATTACGCGAAACGTGTTTCATTTGTAAATGTGATACTTATCGAAAAATACAGCTGCACAAAGATATTAATGTCAAAAACTGACGAATGGTATGGAACGATATATATCGGACTTGACAGTGATGGAATGCGGGCTGCCGTTTTTTTTTTTATCGAAAATTAATTGAAAGATATTAATAAAGGAAAAAGGAAACTTCTAGCAGGTTAAATTTTGGGCCTACCATTTTGGAAAAGCGGAAACGCAGCGCCGAATTTCCGAATAGTTTTTGAAATTATTGCCCGAGGTAGGTGTTACGCAACCTGGACAGCAATAATAGCCCAAGTAATACGTATAATTTTCCTTATTTTACAAACAATGGGTGCGTAAATTAGCTGGAATTAAAAAATAAAACCCAACTAAGAAATAAGTTTACCCAATGCGTTGTCCAATTAGATGCGCCGGGGAAGCGTTAAATGGAATTTCAAAGCGAATTCAATTGCAATTACGAACTCTTTTCGAAGATGATTGTAATTAGGCTTTACGCAGGAGGTCTTTGGAGACGGGGCCGAGCTGTTAGGCCGTTAGGGGCTGGGCTGATTAAAAAAAATTAACGATGCTTGAACAATGATACATTTGTCTATTGAATAATGCATTGTGTGTGCTGGCCCAGGTTGTTCGATGATTTTGTTAACAAAATGAAATATAATTACAGAGCACTTTTCTATACGCTGTTTGCGAATGACTGAAGGGGTATATCGGTTCGATGTCAGTTAAAAAATGTCTTGTTTATTTTTGTTTTTCCTTTCTGTCTTTGCGTTTCATTTAATATATATTTATATTACACACATATAGAAAAGCAGAATATTATAAATTTAATCAAATTATTAAAATTATTCAGATTTGATAAATCTAATTCGTGCTTCACTTCCTAAACAATATTATATATTATTAGTTTGTATTTAGATTCGGTATCATTATTTCGATTATGGCCGCTATGATTATTCGGGCTCCTCGAATCCATCCCAACGAGTCGGGTCGCGGAAAGCGGCCATAAATCCAATGCCAGAGCTGGACGCCAGGGACGGGGGATGGACAGATCAGGCGAGGGGCGGCTTACTTTGGCGGCCGCTGTCAGGAATGCTCTCAAGTGCAACGCATAAATATTTATGCTGCCTCCAGCTGGCTGGGTCTTTGGACCCCGAAAATTAAGCGAAACGAAAGTTGCCAAACTCAGCAAAGAAAAACCGCAAAAAAAACAAACGCAAAAAAGACTACAACAGATTCAATGTCAACTCTGTTGGCCAAGCGGAGCAGCTCGCCGGTGGCTGGGACCTGCCGGAAGCGGCGAGGTAAAATATATTTGACTCCATTTAACTCGAGGAGTTGTAGTGCGCAGAGTTCAATGGTGGCTTTGTGGTTCAACCAGGCCGCAGCTGCTCCACAGCCGGCAAACGGCGAATAGAGTTCACGAATGGCAACCGAAACGAAAGACGCGTCGTGACGTTTCAAGCCACTTGAGTGAGTTAATGAATGAACAAATGAATGAATGAGTGAAGAGGCCAACTGTGCGCTGACAGTGTGGAGCAGCAGCTGAAATTGTGAACAGCGGTGCAGAGTGGGTTTACCACCATGCGAAAACATCGTGTGGGTTTTGCTCTGAGTCTGTGGGGGGTCATTCAACGTTACAGCTGAAAGACATTGCACTCGGCACGTGAACTTCGAGAAATGTATTCAAGCTGGGCTTGAGAGAGACAGGCAGAGTGTAAGTGGGTGGGAGTGAAAGGGCAAGATGGTGAGTAGAAAGACAGTGAGAAGAAAATACAGGAAGAGGGAAATACTTGAGAGCAAGAAAGAGTAGCTTTTGCTGGACTATTCAGAACAATGAGGGAGAGAGAGAGAGAGAGAGAGAGAGAGAGAAAGAGAGAGAGAGAAAGAGAGAGATAGCGAGACACAGGGTGAGCAAGAGAGAGAGAGAGAGAAGCAGAAAGAGAGCGAGAGAAAGAGAAAGACAGATACAGATATAGATAAGAGTATGAGTTTATTATTAAGTATATCCATTTAAAGAGATGCTCTTCTGGCTATGGCACATCATATGGGCATCTTTTACACTCTATAAAACTGTGGATGAGGTCGCAACAAAAATAATAAAAATAAATGAGGTGCCATAAAAGCAAGCTAAGCATGGTATAGGGTATATGACTATACATATATGTACATACACATGCATGTATAAAGGGTATTTAGTGAGGTTTCACATTAAATTTCACTAAGAAATCGCAAACGTGTTTAACATGAGCCCCACTTAAAGGTACATAAGCAAAAGTCAAATGGAAACGGGGGAAAAGTTGAATTGAATGAAATTCACTCAGTGAGTCGTGCTGCTATGATAGAATTCGCGATCTTCGATCGGGAAGTGTATCAAAATGTTTTGGCTAATATAAACTGAAGCAAGCTGATCTATAATAATATCAATCAAATGGGCAACTCGAGCTGCAAAAGCTTTCGAGCAGAAAGCTTCGAGCTGCAGCAAAAGCTAAGCAGATAGAAAGAAGGAGAGAAAGAGCAAGAGATAGAAAGAAAACCAGCTCAGACGTTGGACAGCGCACGTAGCCGAAGAGCACAGACAGAGACGAAGATGATGGCGAAGGAGCAGCCGAGGGGCCGGACGCCGACGAATACGAATGAAAACGAAAGTGCAGCCGCAATGGTCAAAGCTCAAAGTGAAGAGCTTTTCGTGATTTTGGTTTGGTTTTGTTTTTGCTTTTTTCTGTTTTTTTTTTTTTTTTGGTTTGGGAGGGGAGCTCGAGTGTGGACTGCGCTCCAACGATTTGCTCATTGAACAAGACGAGCCCGTGGCGTGCGTATCGTACAGTGAGTGCTCGCTGCCGTCGCCAACTACCGTCGTGACTGTCAACAATTATATAAAGAGTAAATAAAATACAAGTTCAAGCAAAAGAAGATCATATATAAATCAGCTACAACCACGCGTGTTGTACATAGGAATCGAGTGAACTTTGCGCCGTATATCCGACCGATACGTTTTGCTTTGTGTTTTCAGTTTTTATTTATTGTTGTTTTTTTTTTTTTTTAATTTTTTTCGTTTTTTTTTTTTGTTAAGACGTTGCACGCTAAGTAAGAAAAGTGAAGAAAGATATAGAGATATAAATACCCAAAGATATATATTTATACATATATTTATATATATTTATATACATGAGTGTATAAAATGTGTAAGACAATGGAAAGTGGCAAGCGGTTGCGTTTGTGGTAACTGCAGACGAGGCAACAGAGCCGCAGCAGCAACAGTTGCAGTTGCAGTTGCAGCAGCAACAACAAAGACAGCGACAACAAGCGGAGGTACGTTGACAAAGTTACTTATACTAATCACACGCACACACACACACACACACACTATGCACACAAGCTATCCGCGCACTTGATTTACTTGTCCTAATTTTCACTTTTTGGAAAGCGCGCAACGCTTGCAATTCGCTTATGTAATCTTTACTATGGCTCTTAATTCAATTTCTGATAGCGTTTCCGATACGGAATGCCGAAACACGTTTAAATATCATTGCAAATGCATTTTATTGGCCATTTCCATATGATTTCTATGGGACTTGCATACAAATCATTAAATGTTCATAATTATAAACAGGTATAGCTACGAGGCTACCTATTTATCTATCTATATAATTATATATCTTTCATGTATATATCTATCCGTCTATCATCAACTATCTATCTCTCTCTCTCTCTTTTTATATATATCTATCATCTATCTATTTATCAATCTGTCTATCCATTCAATCTATCCATCAAGCATCCATCTATCCATCAATCAATCTATCTTTCTATATATCTAATAATTTGTATACCATCAACATTCTATTAAAATTAGTAATCATCAATTTTCCTTCCTTTATCTTGTGTTTTGTATTTCATTTCATTCCTCAGCACTTGTCCATATTTACTGATAGGTCTTCATTTAGACGATGCTCTTTACATTATGACTATATCTCATTATTTCATTATGTTTTTCATTTCAAATTGTATTACTTCCTGAAAAGTTGTGTTCATTTCACATGTCTAATGCTTCAACTCCCTTTTTAAAATAATTGGTATTTCCTTCTCTTCAATTGTATTTCATTCGTGAATTACTTTCGTTAGACTGCTTGGCCTTGCCAATTTGTATAAATATACTTCTCTTATTTCTAATACTATTTCTCATATTTCAATTTTATGTAGTATATAATATTTTTTTTATTTATCGATAGCGATTTCAATAACTTTACTCTTCTTTTTATTTTTAATTGGAAAATATTTCATTCAAGTTTCTTATCAATATCATAGGTAACTATATTTCTCGAAACTCCCATTCATTTCAGTTTATTTTATTTCTTTTGTGAATTCTCTCGTGCTATTCACGTTCCATTTTTTTCACTTCGTTCCACTTCCACATTGCCTAACACGTTCTTTGCCTCATTCGAACGCCGGCTCAGTGCGTTCTTATGTAATTCCATTTTTGAGTAACAACAGCCCAAGCCGAAGTCCAAATCGACTTCCCTTTGCACATCTCGAACATGCCCGCCGGCTAACACTTTCTACCTTTCGGCTGACTGCCGCCACCGTCGCCGTTGCCGTTGCCGTTGCCGTGCCGTTGCCATCGTCGCTGCCGCCTCGCACCTGTGCGCGCAAATTATTATCAATTTGTGCACGTCGAAGCTATAAATAGTCGATCATGCGGCTACTGCTGCATAAAACGATTAAGCGCAAAAACCAGCCGAAAGGAAAGTAAACGCCGATAAACACAAACGCGTCGCAAAACATAGCAACGGCTCCAAAATATAAAAATACAACAACAACAAAACGGAAAAAAGAAATGAGTAAAAATAATGTATAAATGTCCCTGCTCGGGCGCCACTTGATTGGCATTGGCAGCAATCAAGTTCAGAGCCAACTTGGCGGATTTAGACCAAGGCGTAGCAGGAAAACTGGAAAAGCCAAAGGCGACAACAAGTCACCCATGTCGCATGTTCGGGCAATGGGGAAAAGGCTGGCGCATGAGAAAAAACCATTGAATTTATGGATTCGATTTTATCGATTACATGTTGCACCAGAGATTTATCTATTTTATGGCTGGGCGCAGAGGCGCACCAAAATTGGATGCGGCAAAGAAAAGTTGTGTGCAGCAATAGCTGATTGAATGCTTGGCTCAAACTTGATGTTATCGATAACATATACTCGAAGAGTTGTACATTTGTTGTTTGAAATTATAGCGTTACTGCTATCGATTGTGTGTGAGCGATACCAGCAATTAGAATAAGTTCTGGTTATACGTGAAAAGCACACAAAGAAAGCTTTACAAACAAGCTGTTATCGATAGCATAGCTCAGAGTTATTGTTCAATATTAGCAAGATTTATTTGATAATCTGGTTCAATATAAAGAATGAGTATAAAATTAAAGCATATCAAATAACTGCATACTCATGTCTGCATGCATGTAAAAATGTTATCGATTACAACAAAAATCTGTCTTTGTATTCATATGTAAATGACTTAAGTGTATTAGGCTGTTAATAATGAACGATGATTTGAATGATTCACTTGATGAGCCTTGACAGCTTTGCTTAGTAATCCTGAGCGTATCGATAACCGATTAACTTTCGTGAACAGCAGTTACTTCTTCAATGCTTGGCGTTCCGCCCCGCTGCGCTGCTCACCGTAACTAGTCAACAGATAAAATGTTATCGCCGCTGTTATCGATGATTAGTGCAACAGGCAATTAGCTTTTGTTGTCGATAGAGACGCGTGGCTAATGTGCCGCAGCATTATCCAATGCATCCGGATATACGAACGGGACTTGGCGTCTGCTGCTAAGCGACCAACTAACTAATAAACAGCTGGGCAATTAGTGATGCGTCTTAATTTCTTTTTTTTCGTTTTTATTTTTGTTTTTGTTTATGTGTTTTAATACGCAGCAAGCGTGACTCAAGTGAGAAAGTGTCAAGACCTGCAGTTGACAGTCGGCAGCTGGCTGTTGGCAGCTCGCTGCTGGATGGCCCAGTGTGACCCACTAAGGAAGCCGTAGCCAAATCGAGACAGCAAACAGACAATAACAACAATAAACAGCCAAATGTCATCAATTACGAGCCGTAAACTAAGCGCGCTCATAATTAAAAGCTGTCAACTCATAATTGACAGATAGGCCCAACTGTTATAGCGTCTGGCCATGTGAGAGCCAGAGCCAGAGCCAGAGTCAGAGTCGGAGACCGAGTCAGAGTGTATTTCTAACAATGTGTAAATTGCGTAAGCAACAAGAGCAACAGCAAACAATCGACAGCAGCTCATCAGGTAACTGGAGCTATAGCTGTAGCTCGCTGCTGGGAAGAAGGGGCGTATGGGGGCTCTATATACATATGGAGTCATATGATGTAAAGCCCAGAGCCGAGCCGAACAATTCAATGAATGAGAAAAGCCACAAATGGGAAAAAGCAGCGCTTGCATCACAATGGCCAACGACATAAAGCTCAAGTCGAAAATGACGATGAAGATGAAGATGAAAATGGAGATGAAGATAGAGATGGAGATGGAGATGGAGATGTAGATGTAGATGAAGCTGCAGCTGTTGCTGTAGCTGGGGTTGGCCCAATTCACAAATGGGGTCTGTCCCAAGGGCGTTGCATAAATTAACATGTTGTACTGTGCTCACAGTTCGACATTTGCTGTTTTTAGCTATATATATTTTTTTTTTTTTTTTTTATATATAGTTTTTTTCGGCTATTGCGTTTGGTTTTTGAACGGCGCTTTTGAATTGGAAATAGTTTGCTTGGCTTATGGCTCAGTTACAAACGAACCGCGACAACGGCCAAACGTTCACAAAAGTTTTTGGATAATCCGAGTGCCAAAAATCATAAACGAAAAGTAAAGCCAAATCTTTTGACTAGCTGCAGGAGCAGGAAGCTGCGATTTACAATTGCAGTCAAATCGCATGCTCTCCCTCTCCCTCACTATCTCTCTCTCTCTCTCTCTCGCTCTCGCTCACGCTCTTTCGCTGTCTGCCTCTCACAGTGTGTGGGGTTCGGCTTTCACTGGTATCGTTTAAATCGAGCGCGACAACATGTTGAAGAGACTGGAAAAACCGCAGCAGCATCTAACGGACAGCAATTAAAGCTGACACTCGGAACAGACGGCCGCAAATGACATTCGGACAAATAAACCAAATAACGAAATTGCATTTTACAACACTTGAAACAGAGAAGAAAAAAACAGCAAAAAAGTAGCAAAAAAAAAAAAAAAACAAATATACAAAAATAAAGACAAACAAATACGAAATTGTAATAATGAAAACAGAAAGAAACCAGAAAATGCAATGCAAAGTTGCGCTTTTCCGCCTGGCGGCATTGAACTTGAAAAACTTGAACCGCATCACATCGCATAATCGTGAGAGCGACTGAAAAAAGGGGGAGAGTGAGACAGACAGAGAGAGAGAGAGAGAGAGAGAGAGAGAGAGAGAGAGGTGGAGGTTGGAGAGTGGGAGAGAGTGATATCAAGTTGGGGGCAATCGCGCATGTCTTTAATGAGATGCCATTTTGACATCATTCGAATTTGGTTGGCTTTTCAATCTGTGATTTGATAACCTTTTTTCATGCATTCAAGTTGGGTTGTGTTTTTTTTTTTCGTTTTGCTTGCGAAAAATGTAAACAAGTTCGTTGCCTAAGTCTTTTGTTTGGCAGCGCGTATAGTGGCGTCTGTATGCTAGCCATGCAAATGAACGAACGTCAACAATTGGCCAATTGGATTGCAAAACAAACGTCATCGTTTCCGCCGCACCGCAGAGCCCGTTAATAATTAACTAGTTCAGAGCTCTCGTTACGTGACAGAAGAAGTCTCAGACTGTGTTGGATGCGCCACAGAATAAGCGTATGAGACGTAGATAGCAAAAAAAAAAAAAACAAAACCAAAAACATAACGATGATATAACCAGCCACAACTAGGGCACATCTTCCAATTAAGAGCCAGCGCAATATCGCATATCTATAGCTTCGATTAGGGCGTGGCCTGCTTGTGCTTCGCAACTGACCTCAACATATTGATATGATAAAGGAAATACCCAATCATCTGAGCTTTACGCAGCAGCTGTTATAGTAGAGCTCTTACTTAAGGCATCATAAGGTCAAATAGGCTTGGCTTGGTCAACAGCAATGCAGCCAGCAACAGTTTATTCCCCTAAGCTTCCTTGACTCTGCAGTTTCTTTATTTGATCATAATAAGTCTGATAGCCTTATAGCTATATCGTCCCTCTACCCACTTAGTGCTCAGAGCTCTATTATCATGCCAACACTAATCTATTTTGTTTCGCATATCTCATGTTGGGCTAGTAAAAATTAAGCTTTGAAGGACTTTCCTGTATTTGCACCCTCTCTTGATACTCAAGGCTCTACGCTTATGTACGATTTAGGGTCATGGCACCATAAAATACATATATATCATTCTTCTACTCAATTAGTGTTAAGTTTTTATTTATAGTTCCATCCACTAATAAATATCGGTTTGCTTTACAGTTCTGTCCATATTGCAGTTGAAATATGGGCCAAGAGGTATCGCAACAGCAGCAGCAACACCACAACCACAACCACAACCACAGCCACAGCCACCGCCAGAACCATAACCTCAACCACAATCTGAACCTCAATCATAAGCGTGGCCAGCCGCATCGCAAGAGCTACAAGGATCCCATCTATACGCCCGCCAGCCATCTGTCTAGCAGCTCCAGCTCGAACAGTACCGACGACTACGACGCCAACTATAGACTGCGGCACAAGTACAATTTAACGAAGCAGACGTACGAGCGGACCAAGATCCTGGCCGGCAGCGCTACGAACCGAAGCAGCCTGCCGTTGGATAGCGACTCCCATTACGCCAAGTTGAACGGAAAGTACTTGCAGCGCAGCAGCTCTCAGAGCTCGGACAGCGGCATCTACAACTCCTCCTGCCACTGCTCATCGCTCTCATCGCTGTCCTCGTCGGCGATTAGCAGCAGCTCGGCGAGCTCCAGCAGCGGCTGCCCCAGCTCGCTGCTGTCCAGCAAGTCCAGCCGTTCGCTGGACAAGCAGAAGCACTATCTGAGCCATCACCTGTATATCAAGTCCTACTTGGACATCTTGGAGGAGGACGAACGGGCGCGCGCCCACTTCAAGTCAGCCCGGCCGGGTGGCATACGCAACTATACGCCCAAAATACTTGGCGGAGGCGACTCGGCCAGTTCCACTCTGTCAGCCAGTGCGCCCGCAGGCAGCTTCGGCTATCCACACTCGAACCCAGCGATCAAGCAGCGCACCAGTGTTAGCTCCCATTGCGCAACGAGCGGAAACTGTCACGAGGATCCTTGGATTTGACAATTACTGAAACATGGCGTTTGGCACAATGACGTCTTTGCTTGGCATGATCCCGCTACTGGCGATCGGCATGAACTTTTATCGCTATCAAAGCATCGATCCCGAGAACAAAGTCCAGGAGCCATCAATCGTAAGTGGAGGGTGTTCAAGTATTGTAGTTAATCCCAAAACTGTACTTAGAAAGTTGATACTTCTTAAGGCGAGGTCTAGACCAATGATTAATGGAATAGTGGTATGATTGATTGACTTATAATTGTATGTACTCAGGCACCGTCTGCTAAGCCGGGACAAATATGGTAATGCGGTAGTAAGTTTGTTTCTCCAAAACGACTCAAAATGAAAGCTGACTGTACAGAAATAAGAGAGAAATTCGTGTGACCCCTTAATAAAGCGAAAAAGACTGAAAGTGAGTTGAGCTAGACCAGAGAAATGATTTATACAGTGAGGAAATTGTGAAGCTCGCCAAAGTGAGCTCGACAGTACCCGAGTCTAGATGTTTCCATCCCATATGCACCGTTCCTAGATCACAATACATTAGGAATTTACCCCTAGACTTTGAGCCATATACTCATACCTCTCATCCTTTCAGATCCGTCGCCAATATGATTTCGTCGTGATTGGCGGTGGCTCAGCTGGCGCTGTGGTGGCCAATCGCTTGAGCGAGGTGCGCAATTGGACGGTGCTGTTGCTGGAGGCGGGCGGCGATGAGACGGAGATCTCGGATGTGCCCGCTCTGGCGGGCTATCTGCAGCTGACCGAGCTGGACTGGAAGTACCAGACGACGCCCTCGTCGACGCGCCAATACTGCCAGGCCATGAAGGGCGATCGCTGCTTCTGGCCTCGCGGGAAGGTGCTCGGCGGCAGCTCGGTGCTGAATGCCATGGTCTATGTGCGCGGCTCCAGGAACGACTACGACCACTGGGCTTCGCTGGGCAATCCCGGCTGGGACTACAATACCATGCTCAAGTACTTTTTGAAATCGGAGGACGTGCGTAATCCATATTTGGCGGCCACGCCCTACCACGAGACCGGCGGCTATTTGACGGTGCAGGAGGCGCCCTGGCGCACGCCGCTCTCCATTGCCTTCCTGCAGGCGGGCATTGAGATGGGCTACGAGAATCGGGACATAAATGGCGCCAAGCAGACGGGATTCATGCTCACCCAGAGCACCATACGGCGCGGTGCACGCTGCAGCACCGGCAAGGCCTTCATACGCCCCGTGCGGCTCCGTAAGAATCTGGACGTGCTGCTCCATGCGGAGGCCACGCGCCTGCTGATCGACAAGGACAAGCGCACCATCGGCGTGGAGTACATCAAAGGGGGACGCAAACAGCTGGTGTTTGTCAGACGCGAGGTCATTCTCAGTGCCGGAGCACTCAATTCGCCAAAGCTGTTGATGCTGAGCGGAATCGGTCCAGCTGAACATCTGCAGGAGCATAATATTCCCGTTATATCAGATCTGCCGGTGGGCAACAACATGCAGGATCACGTGGGCCTGGGCGGGCTCACGTTTGTGGTGGATGCACCACTGACCGTAACACGGAATCGCTTCCAGACGATACCCGTCTCCATGGAGTACATACTGAGGGAGCGCGGTCCGATGACCTTTTCGGGCGTCGAGGGCGTCGCCTTCTTGAACACCAAATACCAGGATCCGTCAGTCGACTGGCCAGACGTACAGTTTCACTTTCTGCCCAGCTCCATTAACTCCGATGGCGGCGAGCAGATACGCAAGATACTGAATCTAAGGGATGGCTTCTACAACACCGTCTACAAGCCGCTTCAGCACAGCGAGACCTGGTCCATACTGCCGCTCCTGCTGCGGCCCAAGAGCAGCGGCTGGGTGCGCTTGAACTCGCGCAATCCGCAGCAGCCGCCCAAGCTGATACCCAACTACTTTGCACACCAGCAGGACATCAATGTGCTGGTCGAGGGCATCAAGCTGGCCATCAATGTGTCCAATACGCAGGCCTTCCAGCGATTCGGCTCGCGGCTGCATAACATACCGTTGCCCGGCTGCCGCCATCTGAAGTTCCAATCGGACGCGTATTGGGCCTGCTGCATCAAGCAGTTCACATTCACCATTTACCATCCGTCGGGCACTTGTCGCATGGGTCCCAGCTGGGATGTGACTGCCGTTGTGGATCCCCGCCTGCGCGTTTATGGCGTCTCGGGGCTGCGTGTTGTGGATGCCAGCATCATGCCGACCATTGTCAATGGCAATCCGAATGCGCCGGTCATTGCGATCGGCGAGAAGGCATCGGACATGATCAAAGAGGATTGGGGCGCACGCCGTGCACCAGCCGTCGGCTAGCAGCACTCGATGCCTACTATTAATTTAATCAACTAGTCAACTATGTGTGTAATTAATTATTATTAATCTATAAACTATTTGTCTTTTTTTTATATTGTTGTTGCTATTGCAAAACAACACCTTGTTTAGTTACGTGTTAAGTGTTATTTGATTATTGCAATTATTTTATATTATCTGTCTGCTTAATATTTATATAACTATTTGTATTTATTGCTTTATGATATTACTAAATGCTAATGCATATATCACTATATTTTTTTTTTTTTTGTATCATTATTATTATTATTATTATTATTATTATTATTATTATTATTATTATATCACTTCGAAACGAATAAACACTTTTCTTCTTCAAATTGAATTTTGCATTTACATTTTATGCCGCCGCCTGAGAGTATGCAGCAGTTTTTTGGCAACCAACTCAGCAGCTGGTGCAAATTGTGCGCAGAGCAAGTCACATAGCAGTGAGTAAACTAAACCGTCATAATCTTAAATAAAATAATTTAATGAATTTTAAATAATTTAATTTATTTTTGTATTTTTTGTATCTCCATTTTAGCTGAACACCAGTATCAATGCCAAAAATATTAGATAAGTTTAGTTTAAGGATACTTGTAAATATATATTTGTAAGTCCTCCTGAATACATCAGAAGGTTAGGTTCTATATAAATATCTAATTGTGTTGTTAAGGTACTAAACTTGCATTGTACAGATTCAGCGCTTAAAATAAATATACAAAATCAAAAAACCAGTATCAATTGCATTTTCATTCTGCGCTCATAAGTATGCAATACTTTTTATTAAACGCCTGTAACGCCGGTTTTATGTATTTCCGCATTGCAGCGAGAAAATGATTCACTAATGGAAAATGATTCGCAATGGTAATGGAAAGCCAATATTTAGTAGTATTTTTTTAATGTAGACTACGCTCAGTTTATATATTATTTAATTGTAATTTAATAGCTTTCACTGCTTATTTTGTTCCCAATATTAATTTTCAGTGCTCTCAAAAGTATGCAACACTTTTTATACCGCAACTACTGCAGATACGCAGCCATAGTAAAGCGCATATTTCTTAACATCTTAAAATAAACCTCTTCTATCATAATTACTCACTAATCGAGCTGCCTCTGCTGCTTTGATTAAAATTTACGATTCTCACCCGAACGTATGCTGCTGTTTATGTAGTGAGCAAGTGCAGCAACCCAGTCGAGTGCAGCTTGCAGCACAGCCACACTCCCGCTGCAAGCTGATGCAGTCAGTCATTGCTCGGAGCTGTCACGTATACGAGACGTTGGCCATTTTAACGGTTTTGGCTTCCGCCATTTGGCTGAAAATTAAAAGCCTGGCCTAGCCTGGCCTGGCCTGGCCAAATGTCAAATTACTCCAACTTGACTGGCAATCAAAATGAATCATAAAATGATTTCCGTGACTAGCTGCGCGCGCCCGCCGCTGGGGTGTGGCTATCAAGTATTTCCTGCTCGCTAGCGCCCGCCTTTGTCTCACTCTCATTCTCTCACTCTCTCCCTCTCTCAGCTATCTCTATCACACCTATTGCTAACGATTTGTGCCAAGGTTACGATAGTAAAACTAACGCTTTGACGACACTTTTGGCAGCGCTCACGTTTTATTTCATAGGTGTCAGCCGGGGAAATAACACCGACAACAGTTAAAACAGGCAGTTATGTCGGTTAGTTGAGTTCGCCGAGCTAGCAGCGATTAGCTAATGCGCTCAATCAATACGCTCGGGCATGGCCCAATTGATTAACCATTTCAATTGCAAGAGGCAGCGCTAATTTTTGGCCTGACACTCTCGTTGCCTAATAAATAATTTACAATTTGCAATTTGCTTGCGCTCATAAAAAGAATGCTGTGCAACAGGGTATGCCTGACTAGCCGATACCCTGCCGTTGGCCTCATAAGCAATCAGATGTGCTGCAGGGACTCAGCAAGCCAGGCAATAAGACTCAAGGCTCTGCAAGAATTTAAATTGAAGCGGCTTGCCGTTTGCCTTTCAAGTCACTTCTTTACTTGAAAGAGTAATTACAGGGTATTTGCGGGCTCAACGCACGTAAAATAGCGTAAAGCTATGCTGGTCGTAAACCACCCAGGGCGCATCTTATATAATGCCCTTTAGACAACCGCCCAAGACCCAAAGTAAATATTTGCTTTGATTTAAGCGAAATGCCAAGTCATCCTCTGGCCAGCAGTTGAGGGCGAACGAGGGCCGGTCCGGGCCTGGACGGGGCGGGGCGGGACGGGGCGTGGTTTAGCCAAAACGAAACGAGAAAAAAAGTAAGCAGCAGTAGTAGTAAAAGAAAAAGAAGAAGAAATAACGTTGAGGCGTACGTGAGCCGAAAATGTAATGGAAAGTGTTATGCGAAAGACGTTGGTCCAAAGCGGCCAAAGCGAAATAGTAAACATCGAAAAGTAAACAGCTCTCGCTGCTCGTAACGAAGAAACGCCAGATGATAATGATGGTAAATAATAATTATGACGATGATGACACACAGTGCGAAGTGGTCAAAAGTGTCTGTGGTCAGTGCGGCTGCGAATTTAGGTCATTAATCGGCTGAGGGGCAACAACAATGCAACACACGCAAACAGGGAACGCAAAACTAATTGGCACATTTAGTTGTTGTTGTTGTTGTTGCTACTGTTGTTGTTGTTGGTGTTGTTGTTGTTGTTGTGAAAGAGGCTGCCCGACAGGTAGTTGCGCTCGTCTGTTGCAAGTTGTGCTTTGGGGCGTGGTGAACGCATCTTCATGTTTTCTCTCTCTCTCTTTCTCTCTCTCTCTCTCACACACACTCGCTGTTTTTTGTGAGGATCAACACGTAGCTGAAGTAAACACAATTTCAGAGACGACTTAACACACAACGAGTTGCAACATCCATTTGCAGCAATTATAAGCAAATCTGACGAATTATGCGCATATAAGCGAAACTTGAATAGCTTTCTGAAAATCTCTTCAAGAAACTATTAAATCCAATTGACAATGCGAGCCATTATGATGCGCACTAGGCTGATTTCCATTGTTAAAGCTGTCAAAGTCAACTTTGAAACTGTTCAAGATAAGATATAATCAGTAAGAATATTGCAGTGGGGTAGTGCCGACTGCATAATACTCGTTCACAGTCCATAAGCAGTTCAATATTTTTGGAATGAGTCTGCAGCTAGTTAAGCTTTTTAACATTATATATATGGTATACAGTATAAGATGAGAGAGAGATAGATCTTGCATCACACATAAATACAGGGTATTACATCATTCCAAGCGCAGTCCCCTAAATGGTGTAAATAAATCTATATACCATCGAGTCTCAATAATTTGTACCCCGCTAAATCGAAAATCGCGATAAATTGAAAAAAAATTTTTTTTTCGATAATTCTCGATAATTTCAATTACTGTGTAAATTAAAAAAATACTAATCCCCTTTCCATTTCGAATTATCGCGAGTCGACTGTAGTTTGTATTTTGAGATGTCAACACAAGTATATTTATAGGACTCTAACACTGTCAGGAAGAGCGTTTTTAAGATAGCATAGATAGAATTTTCCGAATAGCCACGCCTAAATTTTAAGGCTATTGCTTTAAGGCAACTGTAATACGAACAATACGAGGTAAGGTAGAACAGCAAGATGGACATGACACAAAACCAATATACTCATTTACTTCGGGAATGAGTGTAAACACCAATAAATGCTATAAAATATGGTGAGAAATGCAATATTCATAAGATTCGATCTCGATTAATCAATTAAGTTTTAAAATATGAGGTCTTGATTGTTGCCGTGCTTTGATCTGACTAAGTGAAACACATATGTATATATATATTGGGGCCAGTCGATTATACATAATGTTGCCCAATTATAGTCCGCATGCGACACGTAAGAGACAGGCAGAGAGACAGATATGACTCAATCAATCAACATATGGCTCAGAGTTATTATCTCTATGTCATCTATTACATTTTGAATTTGAATAAAATTCCACTCTACGGATAGTTATACATAGCTATGGCCTATAGATGACCAAGATAAGACCCATACACCAAACCAGATATTTTTCATTTATAAACACGAGAGCTGACAGCGGCACGGAGATCATTTACCAATGGGCCATCGAGTGCCAGGTCGAGTGGGTATTATTTTGGGCTTCAATTTGCTTGATCCAATCAGCATTGAGTAGTGCTCGAGCTGGGGCCGTCGAATGTCTTGGCAAATGTGTTACTACTCTATATGAAATTCCTCTCCATGACTATCCCATAAATGCCGCAATGGACGACAGCAAGTCGGGTTTATGTGTCGACGTGATGTCGAACACATTTGACGATGCAGTCAAACACACAAGAGAGTGGGGGGGGAGGGCAGGGGGAGGAGGGGTTGGTCTAAACAGCGAAGCCGGCAAAAGCAGCTGTCTTCAGATACGGCACCAAATTGAATAATGTCTGCTTAATTTCGGTCAATTATGCCGCCCGAATCCAACTCAAAACGAACCGAAGCCAAGCCGAACGCCAAGCAGCGCCGCAAGCAGAGCCCCAGGCAGAGCCGAACCGACTCGAAGCGGGGCGGGTGCCGCCCCAACGAATATCGGAGACATGTAATTTCATTTGCAATTCAGTCGTGCGGCGGCGGCAGGGGACAGAGGGACATCTGGGAAACGCTTGGCAGGCAGCATTGTCAAAAAAAAAAAAAAAATAAAAAAATAAACAAAACAAAAAAAAACAAATTTTTTTACACTTTTTCTTTTTGTTTTTTGAGCAGTTCGATGGAAATGCTTACGCTATGAGGCAAAGTGGAAGGTGTCTGGCGCAGCACTTGATTGGGCTCACGTAGGCCGCGCAGAGCAGCGAGCCGCGATTGGCAACTGCCCTTAGCCAGAGCAAGAGTCTTTGCTGTCTTAACTGGCCATTAATTGGACGCGGTTGCCGTAATACCGGGCCAGAGCAGACCACGAGACAAGAGCAGAGCAGAGCAGAGCAGCGCTGATGCGAGCAGAGCCAGCAGCTTGGAGAGGTTCATTCGCTTCCTGGAGCTTCAAGCGAAAGTCACTTTTCATGATAATTTGCTCTTTTTTCCAGATACCCTGTAGGTCAAATGGACTTTATTGAACGCCGAGCATGCAGGGCTTTAGTGTCAACCAATTTCAACCTATCCACAAATTGAAACTAAGCATTTATATGTGCCTCTAATACCAAGTATTCGATTTTGTAGTCTTCAGCAAGCCAGTTTCAAGCCGAAACGCAGAATGATTTAGCTGTTGATATGAACGACAAGCCCATCCATCTGGCCCTAGTTACAATTCGAGCTGAGAATGGTTAATAAAATATATTAAATTTTATTTTATATAAAATACATTATATTATACCTGATAAAATATATTAATTGTATTATTTATTTAAAATAAGAAATCTAAAGCTCTAAGGCAAAGGCCAGACTGAATAAGGGAAACAGAGAAGACAGCTAGAGCGACACAAAGAGAGAGAAAGAGAGACAGAGACAGAGAGACAGAGAGAGAGGCAGAGAGAGAGAGAAAGAGAACTCAGCTGCTGACTAAGATCTGGTCGTAAAGGGCTGACTGATTAAGAAAAACAGAGAGAACGATAGACTCGCCAAGCTGTGGCTGTCGAAGTCACGTTACAAAAGCGAATAAAATTCATTCTTGCCTCCAAGTTATTTTTAAGCCAAGGAATAAGAAATTATAAAAAGAAACTATATTAATAAATTTAAGGTACTTGAGTAAATTTGGTACCAATAACTGAGGTAAAAGAGTTTTGTTCACATTGAATGCTGAGTCACTGTAAATTTTTGATGCTACCTGACAAGTCATGTAGTCTATGCAAGTTGAGTATTAAACACAATCTCACATGCTTTGACAATGTATTTTTATAAAGCAATTATTGCCCATAGTGGGTTAATTGAAATGAAATATATGAGACAAAAGCTCTCACAGAAATCGAGAGGTATCTAAGTGTTGGGCAAGTCTAAGAAAGCCGATCACTTAAGCACATTTTGAGGGCGGCCACATTTCATTTTTGCAGCATTAGCGAAATGATTTTTTGGCGCATGGAACTGGCAGCCGGAGCCACCTACTGTAGTCGTAAAACGTGGCTAATTGCATATTAACACCCAGCAGCCGCAGTAGCAAAAGCAACAACACCAACAACACTAACAACACCAACAACAACAGCAGCAGCAGCAGCAGCAACATTTCAACATGATTTTGTAAATCTTCAGCTGGTCAAGTTACAGTTTCAGTTGAAATCTCTTTTTATTTTCATCACTCAGTCTCCCTCACTATCTCTCCCTCTCTTTCTAGATTACATAAATTATAGTCGCAAGCTGCACATGTGACAAAAATCAGCAAATGGCGCAAAAACGTTTCCAGCCAAACTGCCCGCCTATCTGTCTATCTGTCTATCTGTCCGTCTGTCTGCCTGCCTCACTGCCTGTGGGCTGCCTGCCAAAGACAGTCAAAATAAAAAAAGCAACAAAAAATAGACCAAAATGCGCAAAATCTTTGCTCAGCCAGCAAGTAAATAACTTTATTTTCCATTTTTCTTTTTCTTTTAAACGATTTTACTTTATTTATTCATCTGCTGCCTGTGGAGGGGAATGCGCATGTTATTCGTGGAATGCGGTCGCGCAATCAACAACAACAACAGCAACAGCAACAGCAGCAGCAGCAGCAGCAAGTGTGTTAACCACAATTTTGGGGGCAAGTGTAATTAACCAAGTTTTGAACCCTGCTTTTGCCCAGCTACAAAATTCTTTTCAACTTTTCCCCAATTGGCCAAGATTCGCAAGTCGAAGAACATTTCTATCGTCAGCTCAATTGCTAGCAGACGTAAAAATAAAGTATATAATGAGTGTAGCTTTGAAATTGTTTAATTTGAAATTGTTATTATTATAATTAAAAATTATTATTAATTTAAAATATATAAATTGTTATGCAATATATGTTTAGTTTAAGCACATTCTATATTAGTTTATATACAGATATGTAAAGTTCTGCTTATATATATTATATATAATACATATATGCTGAGAAGCAACTAATAATAAGCATCACATCATCTTTATTCTTATTCGTAATTGCTGCTCAGTACATATGTATCATAAATAATATATGTAACAAAGCCCTATATATCATTATATAATTTGTATACATTTATGGCATGACATATTTGACAATATTTTTACCTATTTCTGCATAATTTGTAACTAATTATCACATCTTATTCGAACGGGCGTGCTACACTGATCTACAGTTATCTATGATAAATTTTATGAGTTATATGAATTGCAATACTTTTTGCTCGGAGTGTCTTACCACTGGCGGGGAATACTCAGAGAAGTTCGAAGAAGCAGATGATTGGTATACATACTGAACTGATCGACGCTCGATCAGTCGAACTTTATAACAACATAACGTTCTTCTGTTTCATTTCCCAAAAACAACTCATCTCTATTATAATAGTCAGCCTTTTACTGTCCCTATAGTCAATTGCTTTGACTTTGGGTATGATCATGTTGTTCCATGCCTATGATTTAACACTGTCACATATTATTCTTCTACTACGGATACTTAACTCTTATATAATTTTTATTAAAATTACTCTAGTAAAAGCTATAAGGCTATTCATAAACTGAACTTTACTTTGCATTTCCCATGTTCACTTGAACTGAATTTTAATAAGTTTGCTTTATCTTAGTAAACAACTTTAATCTTCAGCTCTTCTTCTTAACACTTTTTCAAAGCCTTTTCCTCTTCGTTTCTTGTTCACTTTTTTCGTTCTCTACTACAGCTTATCTTTCTTTTCGTCAAATTGTTGGCTTGGTTCTTTCATAAAATGTTATTTTAACAACTGATCTACAAGCAGTTTGTCTTATGCATACCATTCTCTCTCAATTCATCTTTGCTTGCATCATAATCTCAATTATTATAAATAATGTTCATTATAATTCTTGTTCTTGAGGCAGTCGCTTCTTTGTAAACAAGTTAAAGTACTTGGCCATAGTTCAGTTGGAGCTCTTCTTGATCTAAATTAATATCAGCACTATTATCTGTATTATTTTTTGTATTGCCAGATCCATAAACTAAACTGTAACTAAGTAACGAATATATTTATTTTTATGCGGAACATAATAATTATTTTTAATTATCATCGTAGTTAATGGAGGGATTCTTGAGTCTTCAAGCCTCTCATCAGATGAAGTTTATTCTTATTGCTATCATTATATATTTCTACAAGTCTCTTAGTGACTCCCACTGGCATTACTATCTGCTCGCTCTTCAATATCGTGCTTAATCATGTCTTATCAGCGCATCAAACATGTTCGAGGGACAACAAGTTTGATGCCAATGTGCCAATAATATGCAACAGCTGCTCGCTTGCTAACCATTTGGCTTAGTTGCTGTTGCTGTCGTTGTTGTTGTCAGCGCAATTGCTGCTGCTGTTGCTGTTGCTGTTGCTGCTGCTGTTGCTATTGCCAAACAGTTGCCGATGCTGCTGACGTCGCGAGCACCGCAGTCGGCGCTTGGCTCGTTTGCACGGATTTCGCGTTAAACTTTGCGTTCAGTTGAAAGCGTGCAACACAGCCGCACGGTCGCAAAGCTCCAGCTCCACACACCCACAGAGAGAGCGAGAGCGACTAACGATAAACGATATACGATATACATAAATCAACAAACATTCTTTTTTGTTCGCTTTTTGTTTGCATCGATGCGCCCAGGATCCGCCTGAGCTGCCCGCCCACCCATAAGTCAAGCGAATTGTGTGTTTCGTGCGCGTAGAATTTCAAGTAAGCAACGATTTCTATCGATAAGAAAACAGCTGTGTGCGTGTGTGTGCGTGTATGTCTCGATCTCTATATGTGTGTGAAAGGAAATGCTGTTGGGAGTGAAACCTTTGCCAGGAACGGATGCAGATGCAGATGCAGATGCAGGTGCAGGTGCAGCTGTGCAACTTTTGCCGGACCTAATGACTCTAGCTGGCAGTAGTACCCTTCACAAAAATAGTAATAAAAGCCCATATGCTCTGCGTTTTGGGCAAATGCAAAAGGCACTCAAGTGCGACTACAACAACAACAACAACAACAACAACAACAACGACAGTAGCAACGGCAACAGCATGCGCAGCGGCAACGGCGATTGCAAGCGGCAACATTTTGCAATCGCCCACAAAAATAAAAAGGCAACAAAAACAACAATTGCGGGATACATTTGAAAAGATATATGGGATACATGAGTAAAAGGAAAAGCAAGAAAAACATTGACGCAGCACTTTCGTAGATAAGTAGGCTATAACACCAACAATAACAGCAGCAGCAGCAGCAGCAACAACAACAACAACAACAATGGCAACTACAAACTGTGACTCTTTTTGTCAAGCATGGGCAAACAACAATTCTGCAAGCACAGCTGAAACTCCCCTCTCCTCCCCCCGCGCCCTGCGAGAGAGTGAATCAAGCTTGCGCTGAAACTGTTTGAGAATCATAAGCCAAACCCGTAAATAATCGATAATCGATAATCGATTGATATTTATGCGTGAACCAGGGCAGTCATGCTATAATCTATCGGAATTCATAGAATCTCAAGGAAATACATTTAACAATTAGTTAACCAACACTGGCTATCCTCGTCTCCTCGTTGAATATAGAGTGTTGGCATGCATTCAAGCTGATGCTGGTTAATTTGCGGAAGAAGCAGCAATAGCTTGAACGAAATCAAATTTAAAGTCCACGTTAAAGCGCATGTCAACGTCAACAAGTGATAAATGTGGCCACAGCTGAGTGAAACCAATAATTTGCATATTTGATTGGCATTTAGGTGCTTGTCAACTTTGACATGAACATATGTAAACCTCAATAAGCTCGTATATTTGGATCTCTTAAAAGTGCCTGTTAAAGTTGACATAAACAAGTCATCATAAACAATCATCTAAATTAAAGTTAAATTTGACAAGAGCAGAGCTCTGTTAACCGGAGCTTAGTGCAGCTCTTATATATGTTCTCTGCAACATCTGGCAACGCTGTGAATCACATCGCACCAGCTTGGCTAATGCAATTTGGTTTGAATTCTTCGCTCGGCTGCACCAGACAAAAGACTTAGGACACAAACGCGCGATTGACTAATGAACTGGGCGCACGCATTAGCCAATGCTGCAGCAGCCACAACAGCAACACCAACAATTAAACAATGCAATTCAGCTGGGTGTTGTTGCAGCTAAATAAATCACAGCTAAATAACAAATTTGCCGTATACGCATTCAACTGTTAACTTATTTATAAAAGCAACAATTGCTGCTGCAAGTGAATCAAGTTGTTGCTGTTGGTGGTTGCTGCTGTTGGTGTTGCTGCTGCTGTTCCCATTGGCACATTGACCCAAGTGGCACGCGCTGCCCGAACTGATTGTTGCTAGTTTGTGAGTTTGACGACTGTCAAGGTGACTGACATTAGCGACCCCGAGAGCTGACGATAACCCAACAACCTAGAGCAAAACTCAAGTTGTTGCTGCTGTTGCTGTTGCTGGCCATTGACTTTGGCCTCTTGTGGCTGGGTTTATGTGTGTGTGTGTGTGTGTGTGTGTGTGTGTGTGTGTGTGTGTGTGTGTGTGTGTGTGTGTGTGTGTTTGTGTCTGTGTTGTGTATGGCTCACGCCAAATTAACGCACAAAATCATTTTAATTGCGCTCACTCTGTTGTTTTGGCTGCCTGTCAACTGTTAACGCATCCGTCAGAGGCAATGGCTGTGCGTGGGCGTGTCAAACTTGACATTTGCAGCGCATGGGCTTGGCCTTCAATGGCTGAGGTCCAGGAAATGTTGCACCTAATTGATTCACACACACATACACCTACACACACACACACATACTTAACTCATTTGGCAAGAGCTAACAATAGCAGTCGCTTTTAGTCGAGATGCCCAACTGGTTTGGCCTGGCCTACCTGGCACCACAGGCAATCCTCACGATCTCTCTCCCTCTCTCTTTCTCTCTGCAACTCAATAAACTTGTTTGTCGCTGACCCAATTTTGTGCCACTTTTTTTTTCGACATTTTTACAAACATTTCATTTAGTTTTGGTTCGTAGTTTTTTTTTTTCTTTTTTCTTTTTTCGCACAACAACCAAAGCTGGAAATGATCTGAAATGCGTGCGCGTTGGTCCCGGGTTTCGGTTTCAGTTTCAATTACAACTTCAGTCGCAAAAATAAATTGTGGAGCCACCCTGTTTCGTCTTTATTTGTATTCACTATTTTTTGGATGCGTTCCGAAAGCGCTGAAACATTAGAGTCATAGAGCAGTCAAAGCCAGAGCTGATGAGCAGCCTTTGGCCTTTCACTTGGGCGCAGACAAGCAGCAATAAAGACTGAGCGGCACGGTTGTACACTGACACAGAGAGGGGCGTAATGTAACGACAACTGGGTGAATACCCTGACTTACTGAAAACGTAAGTGAAATAATACTGAAAGCTAAGCAAAAGATAAGGAATGGCATTTTCTCAACGAACTTTTTGTAAGAAATCCGCTAATCGATATTTATCGATTTTAGGTAAATGTGAACCAGTATTAATATTTATCGTTTTTTTTTTTTATTAAATGTGAGGCACTATGGAAACTGTGCATATGATTGGCATTTCTCCTTCTACATTTGTAACTTAAAGAATTGCAAAGACAATCGAACGAAGGGGCAGACATAAGCCAAACTAAGCTCTATTTGATATTTTGATAGTGAAAATACGCAACTGTTTGGCAGATATTTACCTCCATCCATACCTCAATCCATCTTCATATAGATTTGGTATAAATTTTTCAAATAACCCCTATCGTTGATACCTGTAGGGCTCTACTTCTCTATTAAATATTTGTTCATGACGTGAGGCAGCTTAAACAGTTTCTTCTTCTTCATTAAATATAATATACTTCCTTTGCGATTTAAAAGTTAAGTGTATAAATATCATCCAAAGCCAAACAATGAGGCGTTGCTCTCGTTGTCTAAAAGGTAGTTTCTCATATGTTTACTGTTATTTATGGTAGACACCACAGAGTATATAATGCATGAATCAGCTTGGTGGGAACTAAGTAGTTGGCGTTTGTCGTTGCTGCTCTACCTGGCCGATGTCGGTTGTTGTTTGGACCCACTGTGCCTAGCCGGCTGGCTGGCTAACAAAAAAGCTTAACTGTCAACGGGGCGGCCAATGCGACGCAATGCTGCACGTTTCAACACCCGCGCGATAACAAGCCAACAACAACGACAACAACAGTAATGTGACAACAGCTGTTGCTATTGCTGTTGTTCAGTCTTAACGGCTGATCGAATGACAATGCAAATGAATTATGCTTAGTCCGATAAGTAAATGAACAACAAAAAGATATTTCGTATGTAGATTTGTAGAAATTTACCAATCGAGCGCGCAAGCTAGCGTCAATTATAACCGAAAGCAACAACAACAGCAACCGCAGCAACAGCAACAACAACGAGCAACAACTAGCAACAAAAGCAAACATTTTGGTAGCTATTACATCAGAGCTTGTAGATATTGTAATAAAAACGAATGGCCCACGATTTGAAAGACAAACAGAAGTAGCAACAACAAAAGATACTTTTGTATATGTGTATTGTTATTGCTATCGCTGTTGCTGCTGCTGCTGCTGTTGCTGTTGCTGCTGCAGTTTTGAATGGCGTTTTGCGTGGTTTACATTCATTATAAGCCGCATTTGTTGTGGCTGCCAAAAGCGGTTGCGTTTTTTCCACACTTTAACGATATTGGCCGCAATAGCCGTCAAGGTCGCGCACGACCGCCACTGCCAAACGCCAAAGGCCCTTCCGCTGTGGGGCCGCGACAGGTGGGGGGCTTTGCTTGCATTGCCACAATAAACTGTGACTGCAATCAATGCAATGGCAGCCAGCCGCATATCACAACAATGGCCAACAGATTGAGGATGATTTCGAATGCACCAATTGCAACAGCAACGGCTGTCGTACCGGTACCACAACTTTGGTTTTGATTGGGCCTACATGCTCTGGCACCCCAGGCCAAAATGCTGTAAAATTGACTTGAATTGAAACTTAACTGCAAGCAGGGGAGTGCATCGTCTTATGGCGCGTACTGCTTTCAATCTTCCACTTGGAGACAGAGTGTCATGACGTTGGGGTCTCTCGACGTTCAAGCCTCGTTGAGCCCTATAGGTTGACAGCTGATCAGATCAGTGGGTATAAGTTGCTTTCTATATACAGACAGGCCATTAGAAATTCAAATGTTGAGTCTAAGCAAGCAAGAGAACCTTAGAAAGTTCATTGCTTAAAGAAGGATCTGTCGAGCAGTAGAGACAGTCTGACGACTTTGGGGCTAATTGATCATATGACTGGTCAAACATTCCCATGTCTTAAGACAGCTGTAAAAGATTCTAATACCTTTATAAAAAGCTTTCCATCTATGACAATTAATAAAGTTTCTCTTCTTGCAGCTATCGAGTGTGAAATACTAACAGCAGCAGCAGCAGGAGTAGGAGCAGGAGCAGCTGGCCGAGCGGAAAGTGATAGACGCCACGCCATGCACAAGAGAAGGAAGACCTAGAGAGAGAGAGAGGAAGACACTCAACCCTTAAGAAAGATAAAGTAAATCCTAAGCAAACCCCAAACGTCATCATTGAACATCGAAGATGGTATTGAATCTTCTCTTCATCACGACTGTCATCAAGTCGACATTTGGAGTGGTTACCACTGGGCTGTGGCTGATACCATTGCTTTTGGCGGCCATCACCTACTATCGCTACGATGCAGTGGATCCGGAATCGCGACCACTCGACCAGCTCAACCTGTGGCCGGAGTACGATTTCATAGTCGTGGGCAGCGGCTCGGCCGGGGCGGTGGTGGCGAATCGCTTGAGCGAGGTGCGCAAGTGGAAGGTGCTGCTCATTGAGGCCGGGCCGGATGAGAACGAGATATCGGACGTGCCCTCGCTGGCCGCCTACTTGCAGCTGAGCAAGCTGGACTGGGCCTACAAGACGGAGCCCTCGACCAAGGCATGCCTGGGCATGCAGAACAATCGATGCAATTGGCCGCGCGGACGCGTTCTGGGTGGCTCATCCGTACTGAATTATATGCTCTATGTGCGCGGCAATCGGCACGACTACGACCATTGGGCAGCACTTGGCAATCCCGGCTGGGACTATGAAAATGTGCTGCACTATTTCAAGAAGTCCGAGGACAATCGCAATCCCTATCTATCGAACAGCCCCTATCACGGACGCGGCGGACTGCTCACTGTGCAGGAGTCGCCCTGGCATACGCCCCTGGTCGCTGCCTTCGTGGAGGCGGGCACACAGCTGGGCTACGACAATCGGGACATCAACGGCGCAAAGCAGGCGGGCTTCATGATTGCGCAGGGCACCATACGACGCGGCTCGCGCTGCTCCACGGCGAAGGCCTTCCTGCGTCCCATACGGCAACGTCCCAACTTCCATTTGTCGATGAACTCGCATGTGACTCGGGTCATTATCGAGCCGGGCACCATGCGTGCCCAGGCCGTGGAGTTTGTCAAGCACGGCAAGGTTTATCGCATTTCAGCACGCCGTGAGGTCATTCTCTCGGCGGGCGCTATCAACACGCCGCAGCTGATGATGCTCTCTGGCCTGGGGCCGAGCAAGCATCTGGAGAAGCATGGCATACGGGTGCTGCAAGATCTGCCCGTGGGCGAGAATATGCAGGATCATGTGGGCATGGGCGGCCTCACCTTTCTCGTGGACAAGCCGGTGGCCATTGTCCAAGATCGCTTCAATCCCACAGCCGTAACCTTCCAGTACGTGCTGCGCGAACGCGGACCCATGACGACACTGGGCGGCGTCGAAGGTTTGGCGTTCGTGCATACGCCGTACTCGAATCGCAGCATCGACTGGCCGGACATACAGTTCCACATGGCGCCCGCCTCCATCAACTCGGACAATGGGGCGCGTGTCAAGAAGGTAATGGGCCTGAAGGAGTCCGTGTACCAGGAGGTCTATCATCCCATTGCTAACAAGGACAGTTGGACCATAATGCCGTTGCTGCTACGTCCGCGCTCCCGAGGCACTGTACGCCTGCGCTCCGCGAATCCCTTTCACTATCCGCTGATCAATGCCAACTACTTCGACGACCCGCTGGACGCCAAGACTCTGGTGGAGGGCGCCAAAATAGCGCTGCGCGTCGCCGAGGCGGAAGTGTTCAAGCAATTCGGCAGCCGGCTCTGGCGCAAGCCTCTGCCCAACTGCAAGCAGCACAAGTTTCTGTCGGACGCCTACTTGGAGTGCCAGGTGCGCACCATATCCATGACCATCTATCATCCATGCGGCACGGCCAAAATGGGCCCCAGCTGGGATCCCGAGGCGGTCGTCGATCCGCGCCTGCGCGTCTACGGCGTGCGCGGCCTGAGGGTCATCGATGCGAGCATCATGCCCACCATCAGCAGCGGCAACACGAATGCCCCCGTCATTATGATAGCCGAAAAGGGCGCCGATCTCATCAAGGAGGACTGGCTCCACAATCCCGAGTATAAGGTGAAACGGCAGGACAGCCCCGGCTACAGCGACAGCGACGGCGACAGCATCTCAGCAGCTAGCAGCAACATTTACAGCAGCAGCAACTTTACCAACAGCAACAGCAACAGCGACAGGGACAGCAGCAACGTGACGCTAACAGCAACAGCTGCTGACAGCCGGACAAGCAGTTAGCCGAGTCAGTCGTGGGGCAGGGGTCAGGTGCGCTCAGGGGTCAACTAGCTTTAAAAACACACGAACCAACGGACAGTCAGACCTATACACAATGTCTTGCTTTTCAGTTTTCTTTGCTGTTTGTTGTTTGCTATTTGCTATTCGCTGTTGTCGAATCTCAGACTAAAGTTTGCCATTGTTTCAATCTAGTGTTAAAGCCAACAACAACACAAGTGTACGCTCTTTTTTTTTTGTTTTTGTTTTTTTTTTTTTTTTTTTTTTTGTTTGGGCTCTGTCATATAACACCCCAGCAACGACAGCAACAACACACAAACAACAATCGGTTTTCCATCCAATCGCAACATAATGAATGCAATGGCATCATGCATGAAATCGAGTCATAGTTATGTATCGTATATAATTTCTAGACTCTAGTTAGACATAACATAGCTATTGTTTGCAATTATTTTTTAAATAATTTAATTTTTTGTGTTTTTTTTTTTTTTATATAATATTTAATTAGTTTAATGTATGTAAACTATTTTTTTTTTTTTTGACTATTTGTAAGCAACACTCACAAAAATTATTTATACATGCATTAAAATATTCTATTTAATAAATAAAATATATTACGAACAATTAAATTTCTAAACTTTTAAATGCTCTATACTACACAATTGTAAAATGTATATACAGTAGCATTCCGATAATTCGAAATGGAAAGGGAATCAGTTCTTTTTATTTTCGATTTACACAGAAATTTTAATTATCGAGAATTATTGAGAAAGAATTTCTTTTAAGGGGAAAGAATTTTTTCGATTTATCGCGATTTTCGACATAGCGGGATACGAATTATCGATACTCGACTTTATATACATACTATATCAGAAGAACCTAGAGGTAGCTAGCACAATTTCAGATATTTGATATTTTAGTGAAGCTGGACAGTTTGAAGCAATGAAGAGCATTTCGTTTCTGAGCATATTAACTACGACAATAAGAGACTAGTCCTATATAGCTGCACGAGTTTCTGCTTGTTTAATAAACATATTACTTTTCAGGTTCTCTTTTCAATGAACAATATAGCAGGCAACAACAATTTATGTCAACTGCCTAAAAGCAGGCAACACACATGTTTGTCAACCGTAAATAATTAGGGCGTGTCCATAGAGATGGCAATAGAAAGAGAACGATGAATATTTAGCTGATACCATGAATAAACAAGTTGAAACATATAAATATATATGAATATCGATAGTTTAATTTGCATGTGATGAATGCCACAACTGTGCATTATATCGGTAGTTTACATATATGAGAGATTCTTGACGATAAATGTCATATTATTGCAATTGATCGATAATTTATCGGTAGCTGTAATTCTATGCGATGAATCTAATATTTGTGAGTTATATCGAAAGCTGCAATGCTTTATATATCACTCCAGCATTATATCGACAGTTATTGGTTAGTTTAAAGTACTAAATAAATACTAGATCGATAGCTCGAAGTCGATCATAAATTACAACGATATTTGAACTGAAATATATAGTAACATAATACCACTAATACAATTACATTTTAAGTTATGCTATCACATAATTAAATCATTTCTATAATCATCATCGCGGGTTTAATTCTAATTAAAACTACCATCAAGTAATGCCCATCAGGCAAGATCAAATTATATCCCTACTAATGGCCTAGTACTCAAGCCACTAGTAATCTAATAAATGTGTCACAGTGAGACACGTCATCCACGAATCGCTTTCGTATTATTTAATATCGCTCAATCCATGAACGATAGTTGAGCACAGTGCCCATATCTGGCGGAAAATATTTATGAAGCACAACAGTTGGGCGCAGTCATTAAATGACAAAGCACCAGGCGACACGCAAATGCAAATTGAACAAAATTAGTTGAATTTATGACTCGCCATTGCAGTATTTTCCAAACAAAAGCCACAGAAAGCGGCACAACGAAACAATAGGAACAGTAAGGCTGGCAGACAGACAAAGAGACAGATGGATGTATTGATTTCCATACACTAACTTTTCGATGGCATTGACGAAGGGCGATCAATTCAACTTTGAACTTGGCCACGAGACACGAGCTGGTCGTAAGCAACGCCCAGTACTTTGGCCATAAATCATCTTAACAGCTTCGATTTGGCGACCTTCGCAAGTAATTTTCATGTCCATAATATCGGAAGCCGGAAAGTCACTTCGAATCGACGGACTAATCAATGCAAATTTGCATTTAGCATTGTTCCAGCTAGAAAACAAAAGCGGAAGTGTTTCTCATTTGAGACGCACTTGAGGTGCCAAAAGCTCAGGCCCTGTTAAAAAATTCCAAAAATTCCCAAAATGTAACACGAAAATATTCACAATTTGTATGCAGTAAAAACCATAAAGGCAGCCGTAAAAAATGAGACTAGAAACTGGCTTCGGCTTCGGTTTCGTACGGCAATAAAAATGATAATTTAGTTGACTAATTAATAAAGCTTACCCAAGCTGCAAGACTTGACCATTTTGACCATTTTACAGCTACACTTTACACCTGGTTAACGGTCAGCGGACGGTTCACAGCGCAGAGTTGAAGGTCGTCTTCGGCTTAGACCATACCCTGTGCAAAAGCCGGCCAGCCAGCCAGTTCGGCTCTTCGTCTCTCATTTTATGCACCTTCCAAATGCCTAACAGTCGAGCATTATTAACGGGTTTGGTTTTATGCTGCCCACGCTCAACTGTTTCTCGGCCCACAGAAAAGTTACTCTCGAGATCTGTGGAGCTCTGAGAGAGACTGTGGGCGTTTGTATGCAATCTGTGGATCAGTACAGGGTATCCATAAGCTAGCTAGCCTTAAGAAGCTCTAAGTTCATAAAAGCGAAAGTCAACAATTTCAGCTGGAAGTAAATACTTTGAGCCGTAAGATCAACTTTACTCAACTATCCAAAATTGAGAAAGAAAATAGTTTTTAAAAGCGAATTTTGCATGTGGTATAAACCAAGCACAGAGCATTTTCCCAATTCACGTATAAAAGAGTTCTTAACATTAAGTATACGCAGTGTTGTCTGCGAACGCAATCGAACAGCTGATGGTGCCGCTTCTTGTCACCAATTCGCCCTTCAGCCCATCTAACCAAACTAAACTATATATATCTATATATGTATGTATACATAAAAATAAATTTGGCAATGCAAAACTGAAGCCAATGCGAAGCATCAACTGGGTCAATGGCTGACGGAAGTAATATCATCTACCGCTACGGCTCGGAGTGTGACTTGTTATTGTTTTAATATTGAATGCATGAACTTCCTTTTTTCGTCGTCGCTATGTTCCACTTAGAGGTTAATAAACTTGTTATACTCCAATACGGTTTGTCAATTAGCATTTGCATGTGAATCCGTTAGACAAGACCCAACTCACGCAGCCCACCCAGTTGACCCCGACCCACTGAACTTGATCTCTAGCTCAATAAATGAAATGAGAAAAAAAAAATTCATAAGAATTTCAGGGCTAAGAAGTTTTTACCACGCACGAAGTCAACTCTGTTGCTGGAGCTCACCTGCAAAAGATAGAGAGAGAGAGAGAGATCGTTTATTATTAATTATTAAAGTTGTTTGGAAAATTACAACGTCACATTGAAATGTTTTTTAATGATTGTGTATCGGAGACGGAAATATTTTTTGGTTTGTTTATTTATCTGTAGAACACTTAACGCTCAACCGGTCGCCTCTTGAATTTCCGACCCTGTACCTAAGTAGCTATAATCGTCTCATCTTACAGATTACACTTAGCCTACGCATAATCGGCAGCATCATTATCGTAGCTGGGTCTGTGGAACTGGTTCGTTAGAACATTAAGAGACGGCCCTGACTTAATTAGATCATCTGGGTGTTGCTTATGCTCGGAAATAGGGCAATGGGCCGGCAGTAAGAATAGCACATAGGAAATAAATTAGTTTATATATATCTAGAAAAAAGATCTTTTGATAATGTGCATAAAACAGGTATATTGTTTCAGCGCAGAACAATATGAGAGGAAACTTAAAATATCTAAAAACCTATAAAAGTATTTACAAGCATTATTATCTGAAGACGTTAAACATATATATGCACGTTCTTTTTGTAAAAATCATATTAATGAATAAATATGTTGTTTCCTGAACGTAAATAAAAATCAGTGAAGTTTAGCTACAACTTTTTTGGGTATCTTCTAGTTGAGCACATTCGATTCCATTGTCTTTGCTTTGCTTTGTCGCCTTTTCATCATCTAATGTGTCTATTAATAATTTGTAATTGTTCGATTGCTCATTAATCAATTAACTTTATGGAAATCGCAAGGCGGCGTAACAAATCGTTCAATCGTCTTATCGATTGTACGTCCAATGAGAGCCGTGACGCAGCACTTTCAGTTCACTAGCCTAACCTTTTCGGTTGAATAACATTTCGTTTATACTCTTACCAGAAGGGTATTATGATACTGCTATAAGAGATATCTCTCTAAGGTATTTTAATCCGTATTAGCACGGTGTTGTTGTTCATAATGTGTAGGAATTATACTATACTCTATTAATTCTAGCAAATCCAACTATTATCGTATGAGCTCTTTAGCAACGAATCCGAAGTCTTTATTTTCTTTCCGGTACTAAGTAATCGATGAACTTCTTTGTTTGATATAGTCTTATACCGGATGATTTCCCTACCAGTCCGTTCTCTCTGTCTTTTTTAGGGTATTAAGCATTCGACTTGTTTGATATATTTTATATTGATATTTTATTTGATTGTTATTTGACCACATAACACACAATTGCTGAGCATGTAGACAATGGCATGCTCTGAGTCAGATCGCAACTCCGACAATCATCACCGATTGTCAGTCCGTCCATTTCCATTCAATTGAGTTGGGCTCTCAATTATTTTGGTAGCAATTTTGTTTGTGCTCAACTCCTAAGCACTTTAAAGTGTGCAATTATTTGATTTTTGATTTTTGTGCTCAACAATGTGGAAGTGACGTCAACTCCCAGCTGACTGATCCCTCCAATCAATTAGATATATGTATGTTCGCAATTATTTCCAAGTGTCATTAGACAGACAGAGTTCAAGCTCTAGCAGAGCCAAACAACAAGAAGGAAGTACACAAAACGGGCGTAGACAGCTGTCAAAACAGTTGCTGCGATCAAGATTTTACATATAATGTATGAGCGTTATGTATAAAGAAAAGATGAACTAAAGTTGTTTTTCTTGTTATCTAAATTATTAGTCAAATAAAAACGGT